TTTTTTTTTTGTTTTTTTTTTTTGTTTTGCCCTTTGCGATGATTCTACTCCCCTTCCCTTAGCAGCTAGCATCAACATGTTTGGATGAAAGTGGAGGATGAAAGTCATTTTGGGGGGGACTTACCCATCTTCCTTGTTCCCCTCAAGATCTTACACATTGTAAGCTGTCAGCAGGGTGGGGAGGCGGGTTCTGTGGATGGCTTTGGAAGAGAAGGTTGGCCCCATTATGGATTCATTGATCTGTTCCTACTCGAATATAGCCTCCATGAAAAGCTGTGACTTTGTCTTGTTCCCCAAGTCTGCACGAAGTTGGCAGTAAATAAGGTTTTGTTACATAAACAGGGGGCTCAAAATCCAGACTTTGCCTGGTTGATGTAAAAACTGTCACATTAACTAGTTACAAAGCACAAGGGTGACATGGCTGTCTTAGGGTCTGTCTGGACTTCACACCAGATATGTTGGGTCCCCGGGACTGTCCCTGTTTCCTTCTTTTGAGGTGCTTTTGTTTGGCTCTCCTCCCCTTTTGATCTCATGAGAAACGTGAAGGTGGTCAGTTACTAAGAATGTTGACCTTGTTCCAGAGCGAGGCTGCCGTCTGAGAGAACCTGCCATATTGGCTTCTTTCGACAGTTCAGGAACAGAGCCCCTTATGCTGTTGCCTTGCAGTGGTGAAGCGTGGGATGGGGCCCCATCTTTCCCAGTACGTGTTTTTCCCGTTTCTAGGATCAGCATCGATCCTCGGACCCCAGAGTTTTTGTCACCCCGAAAGCCCCACGCCCAGAAAGTGAGTTGTCTTCCTTGTGAGCCGGCCTGGCCAGACATCTGGGTCTGGTGCTTTTGGTAGAGACCGGCCAGCAGCGTGGGCAGCTCTGAGCTGGAGGAGTCTGGGGGATGAAGGTCGTGGGGGTGTTACAGTGACATCACTGCTTCTTGTTTCAGGGTGCCGCAGAAGACCCCCCAACGGCCCTGGCACTGAACTTCGCCCCTGCATTGATGAAGAAGTCTGACGCTGAGGGTCCCAGGCTGCTCTTCCCCGAGAGTGAACTTTCCATCCGGATAGGTAGAGCTGGGCTTCTTTCAGGCAAGCTCCCTGCAGACCCGGGGCTGAGTCAGGCAGGATAGGTGGGAAACGGCAGGTGTTCTGTCCATCCGAATTCCTCACCCCGCAGTTGCTGAACTGGTGTCTGGCCCCATGCCTTCCTTTCTTGTCGTTCTCCAAACCACCTGCTTCCCGCACAGGAGCTCACAGTGCCTTTCCATCGTCTTTCCAGCTTGGCTGAGTGGGCAGGGACCCCTCTGATGGGGCAGGGCCGGTCTGGGTCACAGCATCTGGCGTTTGTCCCTCCATCTCCCCATCCCTGACAGACCCTAAATGCTCCTTTCCACTCGTGTGACTTTCATTTTTCTTTTTTTTTTTTTTGATTCATCTGGGAAACTGTGGATGTTTCTCTCACTGATTCAGTTTGGAGTCAGAAAACTCTTAAGGTAGAGGGAATGCGCTCCCCGAGAGGGATCTCATCACAGTTCATAAATCCCCAGGGGGGAGGTGTGGAAGGGGCTGGTGCCCACTGACAAGGAGTGGAAGGTGCACGGGCAGGAGTACATTGGTTTCCGGTCTCGGGGTAAGACTGCCCCTCCTTGCCTCTTCTTTGCTCACTCACTTAGGGCATTTGACCAATTTAAGGGTCCGTTAGCATGAGGAGAGGTGGATGCCTTTCTTTCCCTAGCCCCTGCCCTTCCCACTTCCTCTGTAGACCACGGACGTGCAAAAGATATTGAGAACAGACACCTCCTCCCCTGCACACAGTTCTCTTTCTCTCTCTCTCTCTTTTTAATTTTTACTTTTTTTGGGGGGGGGGTGGACAGAGAGAGAATCCCAAGCAGTCTCTGTACTGTCAGCACAGAGCCTGATGCGGGTCTTGATCTCACGAACTGTGAGATCATGACCTGAGCTGAAATCAGGAGTCGGATGCTTAACCGATTGAGCCACCCAGGCGCCCCCCTGACGGAGTTCTCTCTTGAGTGAATTGGGCAGAAGCAGACTGGCTTGGTGATTCAAGGGAGAAAAGCCCTTTCACACTTCCGTGCTGGTATTTTAATTCAATCTTTTTGCCATGTGTAGGCTACGACGAATCTCTAGACCTCAGGGGGAGTAAATGTTAGAGCGATGCTGGTTCTCCGATCTGTGTTCAGACTGTGCCCTGCATGAATTATTCATGGAGAACTCGAATATCTTCCCCACTCGGGTTGATCCTCTCTGCCTCTTACAGCTTCCTAGGGGGATGTAACCGGGAAGTGGAAACTCATCTAACATCAGCTCACGTACTAGAGGGCTTAGCACAGAAAAATCTGTCCCCTGCCTCCCATCACACGTGCCATTCGTACTCTAATCAGAGCGACTCAGGTGTTGTCCACTGTTCCTTTTCTATCAGGGAGTCACGAACTGTCTGGAAACCGGATGGGGCACTGTCTTCCAGGAAAGCTTGTCACTTTTTGTGCCAAACCGTGGGAACACTTGTCAACTCTTACTGGCCATACCGGGCTAGCACTCCTGTGGACCCCTCTGAAGACTTTACAAAAGTCCTGATTCTGAGCCTTCTCTAGGATGAAAAAGTTGACCAGATTTTATTCTATCCCATTTTTTTGGTTTTGTTTTGTCTTCAAGGCCACAGGGGGGAAGGTTCAGAGCGTGTCAGTGAAAACAGTGTCAGTCCCCTGTGCTAGACCTTGTCCAGTGGGGCCATGAGAACATAGAGCCAGCGGGAGTAGGCCGTGCAGGGGAGCCTCCTGGGACCATGGGGTCTTCTTGGCAACCCAGGGTGAAGCGGTGAGTAGGGGTGGAGGCTGTGGGGGAGGGAGATGCGGTCCTATCCTCTGCTCAGGAACACCGAGGCCTGTTACCAGGCTACCTCCAGCCGCCATTGCTAACTGGTCAGACGCAAAGGCAAAGATCCCTTGCGGGGAGCACAAAGATGATTCGCTGAGACTGAGGGATCCCAGCCATCTCCAGAAAGGTCTCTCTTCGGCTCACTTGGACACGCCTGTGGATGTCAGGCAGTTGACAACCCTAAAACCGATAATGGCTATTTGCTGACTGGCCTCACGCAGATCGAGCCCGAATATGCATTATTTGTGCCATCTGGATGTGCCCTTAAGCTGGCTGTAAGTGCAGCGTGGAGATCGGTTTAATGGGTGTTTAGTGAATAACATTAGCCTTTAAAAAATAATATTGGTGCCGCTGTTATAATGTCCCATAATTGGTTCAGCAAGAGGAAAAGCCAGAGAAGCCACACTGTGGGAGAGAAGATTCAGCTATTCTGAGTAGTGGTGGCAACCCCACGGAGCCGGGGAAAGCATTTATGAGATACTTTTCCTGTTTAGCGCCTGGTGCCTAATGTTTTACGATGGCAACTCTTCTCAAGGCTGGGGATATTTTGGGATTAGCTAGACCAGAAGTTCTTTTAAAACCATCAATCAATCTCTCTCTCTTTCAGTTCAGCTGTTTATTTCTCTCTCTCTCCAACTGGCTTTCTTTTAATTAAAAAAGTAATCACATGGATTAAAAACGGAGAAGTAATTTTTCTTCCAACTTCAACTCTTTTACGGTCCAGGCATCCATCTCAGACACACACACGCACTCTTTCTTGTGGGTCCTTTCAGAAATGGTACGTTCATACAGTCGTGCTTGGCTCATGGTTCCGAACCTTGTGTTTTTCACTAAGCAATACATTTTAGCCTTAGTTTCCTGGGATGCTCACAGATTCATGCCATTCATGTTATTGGCTATCATCTTACTTACTTAGTTCCCTCTTGATGGCCCTATAGGTTGTTTTCAGTCTTTTGCTTTTTTAAAGAATGTGGCAGAGAGCATTCCTATACGTATACCTCTGTGGGCAATTATGTTGTTGAGTAAATTCTAGAAATTAGGTTAGAGGTTCTGTATATCTGGGGTCCATGAATGGGCACCAAAGGGTTCATGTATCTCTTGACATTTCATACATAATAATAGGTGTTTTTAGAAGGCAAAACTCCAAAACATCCATCTTTCTTCAGGTGGTGCCATGACCCTGATGTTCATCTCGATCTTGGGTTTTTCTGCCTCAACCTTACCCATTCAGCTGCCCAGTGGGATTTTTATTATTACTATTTTTATTGGCACTCCTTCTAGGCTAAACAAGGGTAGTAAAAAAGTGAATCAGTCCCTTCTTTTACTAATTGGTAGCTATCCATTTCAGTCTGTTGTTTGTTCTGAGGATGTTGAAACTCTTCAAGAGTGAGGTTTTCTGTTTGCTTGTTTGTTTTTCATTGATCCATTGACATAGCAGATGGAGAATTGTCTGTAATTCTGCGTTATCTGTGGAAGGAGCAGGAATGGGTATTATTTTCCAGTAGAGAAAGAGACGGATTAAATTTGGGAAATTATTTAGTTACGACGTGGTACTTACTTTATTTTCTGTAAACCTTTCCAAAGCTTATTGGAGGGGTAAGTGAATGGGGACTTGAGTCAGGCAAGCATAGGCTGGAAGAAACTCCAGTTAGAAACAGATTTTCCTTTAGTGTCCTGTTCTTTTATAATGGGAGAAATCACCAGGCAGGAATAATTCTACCTAGACAGCCTGGCAGATTCGAAGGCATGTTTTACAAAGTGAAACCAATGCAAACCTAATGTCAAGTGGGTTATAGGTTTGCCTGAGCTACCGTCACCAGCCCACCGGCAGCCTTTATTTGTTTGCATTTTAGTCTAAAATGTCAAACTCCTTCTCGGTTATGCTACTGACTTGCTAGGTAGTACCCTCCTGTGGAGACAGAACTGATCTTGGGAGAGAGAATTCGCCCCTTCTGACTCAAGGTTCCCAAGTGCCTGATGCCCAGATTAGCACCTACCGGGCTGTCCGTTCACAACCGGGATGGAGTTCAGGTGTTCCCTGGTGTCCTTCTCCCTCCTCAGGAACCCTCATTTGTCCACTGGATATCATGCTGTCCTCTTTTAATCTTGAACTCTCTCGTTTTCCCAGTTAAGCATCATCCCTTAGATGCCTCTGGGAAAACACTGGACAACACCGCGGAACACGGAGCTGTCCAGCAACCGACAGTGTTTTATTCCTGCTCAAGTGTTTGCATTTTTTTTTTTAACGTTTATTTATTTTTGAGACAGAGAGAGACAGAGCATGAACGGGGGAGGGTCAGAGAGAGAGGGAGACACAGAATCTGAAACAGGCTCCAGGCTCTGAGCTGTCAGACAGAGCCCGACGTGGGGCTCGAACTCACGGACCGCGAGATCATGACCTGAGCCGAAGTCGGACGCTCAACCAACTGAGCCACCCAGACGCCCCTCAAGTGTTTGCATTTTAACTGGGGACAGTTTCTCCAGCTGGATGATGAATCTGTTCGTTGGATTTCCGCACTGGTTGGCCTTTGGAGGATTATACTTTTAGGTAGCTGTGGGGTACTAGGGGAGGGCTCTGTTCTCTTCCCCCTGTGCAGGGAGAAATCCCCTCTCGGAAGACAACTGCCTGTTCTCTCTCTGAGTACATCCATGTGTATTCAACTCCCAACTGCTAGATGTCCTTGGTAATGAAATTCCTTGTAGTAGCCTAATCCTAGGGAAGCAAAGAGGGCTTACTTAAACAGCTCCCAGGCTCCTGTGACAATCGCTTTTTTCTTTATTCTATATCTTCTGACTTTGAGTCTTCTTCAAAGGAGACACTCCCTCTGTCACCAATACTTAACAGGCAAATTCAGTAAACTGAAATCTATCAAGAGTCCGATGTAGCTCCTAGGAGAAATTCTGAGTGTTTCTTTGTAGTTAGGTCTCCAAAATAGCGTGGTTAGGGAAATCTCTGAGATGTGAATTAGTAGTTTTGACTTTTTATCAGTAAGGTCTTTAAAGCTGCAAGAATAACTTCACAGTTTTTCCCGTAAGTTTAATGTCCTGGCATGTGGTTTTAGCAGTTAGACACCTCCCCTCCCCTGTAATTGGTTGATTAGGGGACACTTTAAAGTCTTTTCCTGGCCTGAGAGTTGTCAGGGGCCTGGAAAATAGGCTGGCCCTGGCATTGTTACCTGCTTTCTGGACCAGGG